TTAGGAGAAAAAAAAAAAAAAACCCAAACCAAAACAAACCCAAACCTGCTCTTGCATGGTCTAGCCTGGGGAATCTGTGTTTCCAGCTATTCTGTACGCGCCCTGAGCTGACAGAGTAGGATTGCTTTGAATCCCCAGCCTGCCTGATGGACCCAAAATCCTGCCTTGCTCTTCTATGATGTTATTCTGACCCCTCCTTTCCAGTGACCATGGGTGATGTCTACTGTTTGTCAGGCATCCTACTGTGCTGCAGGGAAAGGGGAATGGTCCTGCCTACATTTGCACTGATGACAACATTCTTCCTAATTGCTCTTATTTTAGATTTTCTTCTAATCTTTTCAGTTATGATTATATAAGCTTATTAGACTCATCTATATATAATCACGCTGAAGTAAATTTTTGAGTTTAATTATATGTTGTTTCAAAGATTTCTTTCTGTGAAAACCAAGGCAGGGTGTGTATTATCAATACTGTTCTTTTTATTTAATATGCAGGATGGATGATTTATTTCCTTGAGGGTACTGGTTTGTTTATGTAAGCGTGTTTCTCTCCCACATAAGGCAGAATGAAACAAACGAAATCAGAAGTGGTTAAGTTGCAATGTTGGAAATACAAAGCTGAGTCATATAAGATTGTATTATAACTCATACAGTGAAGGAGGCCACTTTGAGGTTTCAGGGACGGTCTTAGGTCAAACATTTCCTGCCCCTTGAATGCTTGATTTGGTAAACTCAGAATTTAGTGTTTGGTGGGTTTTATTTTTGGTTTGGTTTGGTTGGGATTTTTTGGTTTTTCTTTTCTGCTTGTTTTGTTTTGTTTTGTGTTTTGTTTTTTTTTTTTTTTTTTTTGTTTTTTTTTTTTTTTTGTTTTGTTTTGGTTTGTTTTTTGTTTTGTTTTGTTTTGGTTTTTTTTTGTTTGTTTGGGTTTTTTTTTGTTTGTTTTGTTTTTGTTTGTTTTTTTTTTTTTTTTTAATAAAAGAACAAAACATCCCAATCCCATCCCGTGGCATCTGCCTCTTCTTCCCCTTTCACCCTTTGTTCTGGCCTCCTTGCCCAGGAGCTCCCAGCTCTTTCCCAGTTCCCTGTCAAAGCGCTTTCCCCTTCACACACGCACACACTCTGGTTTCTGCTGTGTCTCCTGGTGCAGCCAGTGTCCGTCTCCTCTCCTCCCTCAGTTTTTTCCTTTTGGGCAGGGTGACCTCCCTGCTCCTCCGCACACATCCTGCACTGGAAAGTGCCTGACAGAGACACCGGTAGGTTCTTTCTCCTCTCCCCTCAGTCTTTTCCTTCATTTCTCCACTTACCTGCCCACCCTTCTCCCCCAGCCCCCTTTCCCCAGCCTGATTCTGGTCCTGCCGTCTCAGCCCAGCTTCTGCCTCTTGTTTTTTCTTTCCTCTTGCTGGGAGGGCACCGACCACCTCACTGGGACCTTGAGCCAGCAGCTTCGTGGCACCCCCTGGTCCCCCCCCCCCCCCCCCCCAGGCAGTGGCGTGGGACCCGTTGCCTCTTGTGGAACCCCCTCCCAGGCAGCTCTGGGGGGGGTTAAGCGTCTCTCTGACCGTGGGATCTGGCTCCCGAGAACTCCAGCACGTCAACGTTTTTACTTGCTTTGGCCCAGCTTTCACAGGGGTAACAAACAGCTCTCCTCCCAGGTAGGTGGCTCCTGGCAGGCTGGAAACCCACGTGGCTGGACAACTCTGAAAAAAGGCTCCTGCCATCGTTTTTAGCCATCAGTGTGTTTTTTTCTCTAGCTTCAGTTCTAGAAGTGAATCAGCTGGTTTTGGCTTGGCTTTTTTGGGGGATTTTTTTTTTTTTTTTTTTTTGGGGTTGCTAAAGGTAGAATCTGTTATCAGAACTATCTACCTTAACAGTTAAAGTTTGTAACGTTGAAATAACTTCTCAAAGTGTTTTGATATTGCCAGTGCAAGTCCAGGCTCTGCCTCGAGAGGGGTTTCAGTGAATCCTATTGTCGTTTTATTGCACTAGTGCTACCAGGGCCATGTTGTAAGCTAAGACTAAGCGTGACCTGAACATATAACAAAAAGACAGTCCTTGCCCTAGAGAAATTACGATTAAAATATACTAATTCAATGCAGAAGGATGAGAGCAAGTTTAAATTATACTTGCAAGATCTTAGGCTGCTGGGATCTCACCTATAGAAGATTGGTACTGCAGCACCGATGTTTCTAAATGATTAATGTTTGACAACGTGTATTAGGCGTGTGAGAAGTTACATGAGAGAAGACACACAGGGTGCTTATTCAGAAGAACAGCCCGTGGGCAGTGGGGTCTGGCAGTACTGGTTGACTGGCTGTCAGAGCTGCCGTGCCAGTACTGATTGAAAGGGGATAGGTGCTAAAACCTTGAAAGTGCAAACAAGGAAATTTTATTCACTGACCACAAGAGAAAGAGTCAGCGGAGGGATGCACATCGCTAACCCCCCTGCCCTGTGCTCCTATCATCCCCAGCAGTGGCTGCATCAAGTGGGCTTGGAGGCTTCCACTGCTGTGGTGCTGGATCCTCTCCAAGGCAGCCCATCACTAGCTGTACCAGGAGAAGGATTTTATTAATGCTTATCCCGAGCCTCCCTTGCTACCATTTAAGCTCGTTACCTGCCGTCACATACACCCCCAAGGCTGAAACGCCACGACGCTCCTGGGTCATGTTCAGATTTTAATCTATGGCACCTTTTCCGTTGAACTGCTGTGAGTCTCTCTCTCTCTTCACCCTGTATCTGTGCAGTGGATTATTTCTAATTAAATTTAGAATTTTACGTTTGCTGTGGGATAAATTGCATTTACTCTTTCTATTTTTCTATATGGACACTGCTCACACACTCGGTAATGAGAGAAGCTGATCAATTTTTAGTTCATGGATTAAAAATACTGTAATTTATGTACAGTCATATTTGAGAGTAAATCTATTGATTGGCAAGAACCTTCTAAGTGGTTTGAAGCAGTATTTAAGCTGCAGATGCTTTTCCTGACAGTTGTGTACATGTAAAATAGAAAAAGCATTTCCATGAAGACCCTTGTAACTTGCCCACTGAAGTAAACAGGAGGCTTTCCATTGATTTCAGATTTCAGACTGATTTTTCAGTCTCTTAGCTCATACCCTAACTATGCCACAGTGCTCAAAAATGTTTTTTTCCCTTTATTTGTGTACACTGCATAACATGGAGAAGCGTTAGTCAGACAAGACAAGATATTTTTCCCTTTTAAGGTCCCCATGCATAATGGGAAAACAGCACTTATGTTTATACATTTTTTTCCATTATTTCAGCTTTTTTTTTTTTTTTCCTTTTTTTTTTTTTTTTTTCCTCACGAAATATCTCTGCTTGGAAGTTTTTCTGAATTAAGGATTCATTTGGGGATGTGTTAAATAAATGCAGTGTGCAGAAGTTTGCATTAGACTGGAATTAACTTTCTGATCTCTGATGACTCAGTGGACTTCACATGCTGCTGTTACCGCTAATGTGTAGCCCTGACATTTATTTAAAAAAGCCTGTCCCAGAAGGAGTGAAACTAATAAAGCTGTGAGTGATTCTTTCTGCCTGTTCACTTAATCCACCCTTAATTCTTAAACCATCATTACAGAAGGATAGAATTGTAACTCTTCAGAAGACTTCTACTGTTCAGTTTCAAAAAGTTTGGGGGAATCATTAAAAATGAGCGCTAATCTTACTGCAGTGAAGTTGAACAGGCAGATTTCTATAATTAAATAAGAGATTAATTCCATATTCAAAACAGCAACACTAGAAGGAATTGCAGAAAATTCAGCACTGTTACAGTGAGTACAAGGCCGAGCAGGCTTTATAATAACTAATTAAATAAACCGTTAGACAAATGATGTGCTTATACGCCCCTTTCTGCCCTCAGTACCGTTCTGGCTGAACGGGCTGCACTGTAAATATATCTCCTGCCGTCTGCCTCCCTGTCTGCATGGACACGTACTTTTATAGTAATGGGAACAGATATCTCAGTTGTTGTTTTAAATCTTATTTTGCAATTGTGGCTGTGATGGAAAAGAAGTTTCCTCCTTCTTATTTCCTTTCTGGTGTTATGTCATTATTCTTACTGTTGCTACCAGAATTTATATTCTGGTAACAGCAAGGATTTTAATCACAGAAGTATATATTTGCACTTGCCCAAAGAAACGGGGAAAGTGACAAAATACAAAATATATATAAGGAAGAACAAGACTGTGGTATAAAATGGGATGTTATGCAGTTTATTAATTTTGATTCATAGAAATATAAATTTGTATCTAAGGATTTGCCTCAGATGAAAGATATTTCAAAATAATACAGTAGTAATGGCCATCACTGATATGTTCATATATAAAAAATAAAAATAATCTTTATGTACTTGATGACTAATTATGTAACATTTTACTGGATAAAAAAAAAAAGTCAGATTTTGAGAAGGATACCGGGTTGTTTTGCTTCTTTTACAGTTATGTACACTTTCTTTGTGGTACGTTGTTTTGTACAACATTTATGCACTGAGTATATTTGAAATGCACAAGAAAATTATTCAGATTTTCCCTGTGCTACCATGAAAATGCTAACCATTTAAAATAAAAATAACTGGACCTCTTTTATAATTGCTCAAATGCAGGATCAGCTGAAGATTAAGCTCGTGTTTGCTCTGTAACACACGTTATAATGTAATGTACAGTGTTATTGGGTGTACAGTAGTTGTCATCACAGATACAGTGCACTAAAATGTTCATCTAACTTTCAGCTTTCTGTAAAGAAACTGGATTTGTCAAGGAGGTTTTCTTTCAAGTCACTGATAATTGATAAGACAGGTTAGATCATTCGGTATAAAATTCTGGTATCACATGTTATGGGTTTGGATGGATAACACAGAAGAAGAAAAGCAAACCTGAGGACAAACAAGCAGTCCAGTGATTTACTTTAATAGATAATTAGCTTAGTCTGTGAATGCCAGACCAGTGCAATTCATATTCATTTTTAATGCCATTTAAAATAAGTTATAATATTAAAACTAAGATGGAACCAAGAACCATTAGGTTAAACTACTCCTGACTGGGAACACATTGAAATGCAAATTCTTTCCTTTGAATGATACCCAGCTCAAAGGAAATCCACAGTGAATAACCTGTGAAAAAAAAAAACCTTCTGAAACCTGAAGTATTTCCCAGTAAAGACATAAATGACAGGGTTAATGCACCTGTTGGTGGTAGGCAGAGTATAACCAAGCTGCTCCCCAAAGTTGAGCCGTTCCCCCCAGGAGCAGCCTTTGATCACTTCTGTCCGGTATAATATATCAAGGAATACAAAAAAAGCGGTAAGGAGCCCAGCACAAGCGAAACGTCAGTACCACGGCAGAGATCAGCCCGGTGGCCTTTGTGCCTCTGTGCTCCTTGCAGCAGCTGGTTCTGAGCTCTCTTCGGTCTCTTGGTTTTTTTTTTTTTTGTAGGGACTGGAGGGTAGAGAAGTTGAGGGAGGTGACTGGCGTAGGCGGCAACGGCCAGTTAAAAATCCATTCCTGATGCTCTCTGCCCAGAAAGGGAGGCGCATGAGGAGGGTCAGATCAGCAGCAGCTAGGTTCAAAAGGTGGATTTCGGATATCTTCAGGGGGGGTCCTTGTGCAGTGAATAAGTGAAGAGAACAAACACATCCCCAGGCATTCCAGTAACGCAGAGGGGGTCGATACACTTGGGTACTATATAGTACACAATTTCCCACCGGTCAGTCAAGTCCAGGCAAATAGTTGAGTTGCTCTTGTTTTTGCAGGGAACATTCAGTAGAGGAGTTTCAGCCATTTGTTTTTTTTTTTTTTGTTTTTTTTTTTTTTTTTTAGTTCGGAAGCGAACAGGAGATGTCTTTGAAATGAGAGAAAGGGACTGCAAAAAAGAAGCATCAAACTCCAAAAGTTGTTTCCCATCAGTGGTGTGACAAACATTTAACTGCTGGAAATTCTTTATTAGTGCTCACTGATGATTATAGGCTGGATGCTTAATATGTGCGATGGTGAGAAACGTTCCCAGTATTGGCAAGCACGGAGCTTCCTCTGCATCTTACGAAATTTCCTCTCTCTGCTGCCATTGTTTGGTGTGGCACAGAGGAAGGAAAGTGCCAATTTAGCGTAGGGAGTTCTGTATGTCTCCTCCAGACTGATGACAGAAACAGATACAGACCAATTCCAGCTGCCTGAGAGTGGTGGGGGTCATGCTGGTGACACAAAGCTAGCTTTGCACCCTTCCCTGCCCTTTCTCTTATTCTTATTTTCCGTGCTATATATAACTTCAGCAGGATGACTCCTCTTTCCCCGGAGCTGAGAATGCTACTCACTCTCTGTGTGCATCACTTGTTTGCTTAACTTTGCATTCTTTTGTTCCCTCTCAGTTCCTCCTGTCCCAAACTTTAGGTTCAAAATTACTGTCAGATTAGACAGCTTATTGCCCTCAAGTGTCAGCGGCTGTAGTAATAAAACACTGACTCCTCCAAAATCTTATGCCCAAAATCTTGCCTGGAGGGAAGGCCTCTGCAGCTCCAAGTTCACAGCACTCTTCTCCAGTTCAGAAATTTCATCTGAGTTCAGCTGGAGAGAGGCAGCCGCAGTCTCCAAAGCACTTTGGTTTTATAGCCTTGGCAAGACCTTTATTTCTCTCTGGTAACTCCATGTGAGATTGTGCAGGAATGAGAGCGTGGGTAAAAGATTCTCCTCCTGTGAAAATCCACTGGCTTGCCAGAGCTGCCTCCTCTGGTGACGTTATTCTCTTGGTGGTGTCATGCTCGACAGTAGCGACTGGATCTTGTTTTTTACAGGCGTTCAGTCTCAGAATCATTACGGTAGACAAGACATTACTGATCCTGTGGTGACATCTACCATTTCAGCATTTCATATCCAAGTGGGGCATGTCAATCATAAAAAAAGAATGCGTTTTAAAAAGTTAATATTTTGCAGTCGGCCATCCTGAATTTTAACTTTCTGCTACATCTATTTAACTCTGCTCTTTCAATTTCTGTGTTTGTACACCAAAGAGACAGCTAAGGGTGGAGTTTCTGAAGAGAGCATTTAGGTGCCTTGTTCATCTGTGTTAGGTGTATGTACAGCCTTAGGGATGTCTGTATCCGAGCAGCTCGCGATGCTTAGCTCTGTGATGCTTCCAGGAATTAGTTAAGTACTAATATCCCGTCTCATGCGACCTGATATTTAATGCACAGAGCATTTTTCATCATTGCAGGATTAAGTCAGCAGCGAAGTTTTATCTGAGCTCATAAACCCACTCAAGCTGGCAGTCCTGCCAGGGACCTGGGCTGCAGCTCCAGTTAACACAATTCCCTGGCTTTGAACGTTGTCCCCCCAAACAGTCTGGACGCTGACGGCGTCATGCGGACTGAGACAACTCGAGAGGATCTGAAACTTCAGAGGAGATTCATGGAGCAACGAAATGGCTCATTGGCATCAAAGAGGCTGTCTGTGAGACAGCAAGGAGCTATTTCTGAGACAGGGGGAATCTAAACTGTTTACAGCAGGAGGCTGGCTAAGGTGTGAGAGTAATGGAAGAAAATCTGTAACGTTATATGTCAGAAATACTGTAGAAGAAAGATAACAGTTCAACATTTCCTTTTGTGTACAGAATTACTACTTTTACTAAATATAGAGGAAAAATAAGTGTTTCTTTTCCTTGTTTGCCCATTTTCTGGTGATTTCTTGCTATCAGTTTAGGTCAGTCACTTTGCCCACTTCAGATGTGATCTCGGGGCTGGAACCACGAATTCATTCATTATGGGCTAAAGCAAAAACTTCTGGAACATTTACCTTCCATTGCAACTTCGATTTTAGCCACAGCTAAATCTGACTTCTTGTTCAACTAGCAATCGTACATAAAGTTTCTGTAGAGTTTGTCATGGGGAAAATTTCTTCACTCTACTAGCCAGTGTCCAAGCAGTACCGCAAGCCACAAGCCTTTTATAAAGTTAGAGCTCCAGATGTCTTCTTAACAGAAAATGCAATTCATTTTCAGTTGCTTAATCTAATTCCTTCTTCAAAGGCAATTTTCTTCTGTAAGTATTTTTAAGTATTTAGTGCTAATGGACAATTAGCTCCATGGGTGGTTTTCAATTTATGTACTTAACACTTTCCAGTCGTCTTTATGCAAATAATGGCATAACTTTTCCTACTTTGAACTGATTTCTGATTAATTTCCATGTACAGGGAATCTATCACCATTATTACTATTAATACATGTTACCCAGTTAGGATCATGTGTTCTGGAACACTAAATAAGTACAACTTTGGGAACAATCTTAAAAGTAAGGATTGCTTTGAAAGAGAAAATTCTGCAAACAGCTAAGCATGTTCAACTGTAAAGAAGTTTTATAAAATAAAACATATTTTTACGCATAAAGAGAACTAATCCTGACCTTCAATTTAGTTTCATGGTGAAAAAGAAAGGAAAACTCTTACTAGACTGCACAGATCAGATCTGAGAGCACAACAGATTTTTTTTTTTCGATATAAAAAGTACGTGAAATAATTTTAATAAAGGTAAGACATTAAAAACAGAGACACATACTTACTCCTTGTCCTTCCTGCCAATTTAGACAATGTTTCGAATTCAGAAACAGTGGGTAAATAACAGTAGAGAAGTTACTGAGGGAATTTGAAGATGCATCCTGAGGCACGACGAAGTGAGTGCTGTCTGAGTGTTTCACTGGCCACGTATGATGTGTATGAGGTTACATTTTGGAAGAAAGCCCAAGGAATTTTTTATTTATTTATTTATTTATTTTTACTTCTCCAAATGTCAACTGTAGCAGTTTTCAAGGCATGTGAAATCTTTCATTCTCATTGTGAAATCGTATAAGCCATATGCCGTGGCTTTTGTCCTCCCGTGACCACCAAAGCTCTCAAGCACAGTTCCTTGGCCATCAGAAGTTCTTTTGTGTGATTAACTATGTCCGCAGCAATCACAGCTTTATGAAAGGCTCCGAACTGCCCTCTCCAGTGCCAGTGCACACAAAGGCAAACTTTGAACTATTTTTTTTGTAGCGGTGGGAGTTCCTTCCTCTGCCAGCCTGGGCGAGGATCACGGCAAGGAGCTGGGGTTAAAGGAGACGAGGTGTACGGGGAGGGCTGCCGAAACGTGGATCCGCGACACCCGGTGTCAGACTCCCCACCACTTTTGAAAAGTCATGACTTTTGCACCCCGTTATAGGTGTCTGTGGCACGAGTCTGTGGACATCACTTCTCAGTAGCGCCCGAGGACTGCTGTATTTTCTCAGCCTTGCACCCATACATAATCTTCTTTTTATCTGATCACCTGCTGGGACCTCATAGCCTAAACCTGGTTGCTTATAGATTATTTTTATCTTTTTCATTCTGCTTGTCCTCTGATGAGAGTAATATTTAAAAATAAATCATATCTGAGGCGTCTCAGATTTTAAATACAAATCTCTCTGAAGTATACCTGTTTAAAAAATAGAGCTTTTCCGAATTCTTTTCAAAACACAGTAAGAAATCATCAAGGAACTGAAATGTTATTTACTTATATGAAAACATTCTTCCCATTAACCACCTACCCAGCACATGCACCATCTCTCTGAGTCCTTATTTGACTGTGCCCGTTCTTTGATAAGTGAATTAAAATTAAAAGCCACGTGAGGCTGCATGGTGATATCTTATTATGACCTTCCCTATCATAATGATAAATACTTTTATTCCAACTTTTTGTTCATTAAAGAAATACTAATTTAGAGTTATGCAAACATTGGTAAAATTGACAAATTTGAAAAATTGTTCTGGTTAACACCGTCACACTGAAAAAAACTCTAAAGAACTCCAACATTTAATTTGAAGCTTTAAAATGTATAAATACTTCATATATTTAAACAGCATCTTATTTAAACATTTACTTATTTTATTAAAAAAATTAAACGGTATCAAGAAATACATCTCAGATGAAGCTATATGCTTCACTTCTGTCAAAATGCCTTTTTTTTTTTTTTTTTAATATCTTAATCAAAACTTTTATTTTGGTGAAGACCTGAAACACAACATTTTTTGAATTACATGGTATTTAAGGAATCCTAATACCCTACAGGAGATCAGTCTCTAAACAACACATCCCACACTGACTCATTAAGGTAAGTGCAATACAGCAGGAGATCTTCGTCAGAGTTTCCAAAACTTCCTCCTTGCTTACGCTAATGCATTTCTGTGTTTAAGTTTTTTGTTGTTTTTTTTTTTTTTCATAAAGAAGAACATTTGAGCAAGAACAAGGAGTCTGGAATTCATCCTTGCTTGGACATGAATCTCTGGGAGAAGCCAACATTCACATTTACTCACAGACTCTGAAGAGAAAACTGCAGCTGCGTTTAAAATTTTTATGATGAAGAACATAGTCTTACGAAACTCAGCACTTCAAAATAGGATCAAAATATTGTTTTGCAAATCCAGCTCCTCTCTGTACATCTAGCTTCTTATTTTCTGTTGTTTTTCATTGCTGTCTTTAGATCTTTCAGTAGTGGAGAGACATTCAAAATTGGGAGTCTATACATTTAGTGGAAATAGTGAAATGAATAGGCACTTCTGTAGCTCCAGCTCATAAACAGCTTAGAACAAGTCCACATAAGAAGCTATAACTTTATAGGAAAGGGGAATTTATTTGATTATTTCTTTGCAACTCGGGTCTTCATTTTAACCTGTAGAAAGCATATAATGATTTGTTAACATTTTACAGTTTGTGCAGATATAATGGACCACAAATTAAAGGAATTTGAAGGATTAATTTAAAAACATCTATATAAGAGTCAACAGTTAAAAGGTTTTTGCTGTGTATACATAATTAAATGATACCTGTCTATTGGTGCCTTCAACTCACAGTATGTTAGTTTATGTTTTAAGCTTATATGATCTTCAGCCACCCTGCCTATGTTGACTTTCCTGCAAAAAGTACACATTCTCCAGAGCTGCATAAGAATTTACAAATGTTAACTGGGCCTCTTTGATCATAAAGACTAAACGAATACGTTGATGAAGGCAGAGGGAAGTTTGCTCAGTTACCACACGCATAACGTGGTAGACAAATGGCAGGAATCCAAAAGGTCTCTAGAATTCTGGATCTCAGTTCAACAGTTCAGCCGTCAAAAATCTTCCTCGTTAACATAGTTGGAACAATTAATGATCGGAACACATTATCTTTTTGGAACAGTATGATTTAAAAGTTTGTTTTTCTCCGTTGAAATGGTTTGCAAATCAACATGGTTATCTGCCATAACAGTTCATCTGTTCTGGAACAGGAGTAAAGTTTTTTGATGTGACCTTGCGATGCCAAATTCTTTGTTCAGCTTGGTTGGATTCCTTTACATCTGCTGTAGACAGTGGTTGCTACGGAGAGCTTCAGTTCTGGTGCAGTGATTTACAGTTCCTGATAAATGATCCTGGTAGCATCACAGTGTACTAATAATCAAGACCTACTAACTACATTTTACAGAGGCTGAAAGAGCAAAATATGGAAGGAGTCAATATAGGCTGGAACCCCACAATATGCTGATGGAAGAATGGAGTGAAAGGAGGGTTCAGTGACTAAAATACTGCTTGTGGATTTGGGAGACCTGAACTGAGATCCTGACTTCTCTTTAGAAACCCTGACTGAAAAAGGGCAACCTTGTCCTGTCCACAAGCGCCGGCTTTTAGGATGACTAGTTTTGCATTTCAAGGGAAGCCACTAATCACCCTGAAAAACCAGACAATGAGAAGATGGGAGTTTTTGCTGCTCGTACCTGCTGCAGGCCAGAAAGATCACCTGGCTGTCGCTGTCCTCACCGTTCCTCTGGAGATGGTCCCCGGCCACCTCCGTCGGGCTGAAGGCAGAGCCAGCGGTCTTTGATAAAAGATGTGGCAGCCTCGGGGAAGATGGGAGCAGCTGTGGGAAAGGGACGGGATAAAGAGGAATAAAAAGGTGATGTGATCACACTTTGACATCTCCAGCTCTGAGATCCTCAGGACAAAGTCTGCCCTCATGTTACCGAGAGCTCCTCTCGTATTTTGCCTTGGTTCCGTGAGACCGGGACAGAGCCGAGCGTCCGAGTGTGACTGTAAACTTTTGTTACCTGCATAAACGCTACAGGCAAATGCCGTGACATGTGTGATCGTGCTGGGAGGTGGGAAAGAACGTGAATTAAACAGTCTGTGAGCCGGCATTGTGAGTGCTGTGCTCTGCAGAGGGTGGTGCATCCATCGCGTGCTCGGAGAGAAGGCTAAAGGCTTTGCGGGGAGGGTCCATCCTGCAAACAGCACCTGCAGGCTCTTATGCACCCCGGGTCCTCTCAAAGAAAAGTAATATCTGTTGCCTACTGGGATCTTGATCTACCAGCAGGCAGAAAAAAAAGCCACTGAAAAGAATCCAGTGGCCTTAGCTGTCTTAATTCAGATTTTGAATTCCAAAAGGACAGCACTGATCAGAAATGGGCCCTACAATGAAAGCTGACCCAAAGCTTTGAAAGTAGCTAAAATTCTGTGGTTTCAGATCACCTTTCTTTGTTACAGCCAGAAGAAAGCACCTTGCAACAATTGCACCTCTGAGAAGTCATTCCTGAGTAACAGGATATGGGCTAGAGAAGAAAACGCCAGCGAACCTCATTTCTTAAAGTAGTTTATTTTCTGCTGTACATGCTTACTGCGTAGCAAAATAATGTGTCCGTATATTTACATAATTTAAATTAATGTCATATTAATATAATAACATTTTTATATTTTACTTCTCAGTACCAAATACTCAAAAATCTCTTTCACTGCCTCAGTAACCTTTGTATGGAGTTCCTCTTATTTAACGGCTGTATGAACAGCGTGCTAGTAAATGAGACAGTATTGATAACACTGGAGATAACAGAAAGCCTTGCAGTGTTTCATGATAGGTGTCTTGGACAATATAAAGAATGAACAATAGAAGTATTTATGACATAGGATTATACTGGATTATCAAAGAAAACCTATGGAAATTGTCTATAAATCATCTACAGTGATCTTAATCCCTTAGTTTTTACAGCACACTTGCACACTTCTAGAGCATTATTTGAAGGCTTAATACAAATTTCCCATCTCAAATGGAACTTTATTGCTCCATTCAAGCTCTGATAAATAAAGAACATGCAGTTGCAGTCTGAGGTTACTTATGTCACCAAATTCCACTTCCCTTGGTGGTTTTAAGGCTATATAACCTTAAGTGCTTTGAAAAGAGCAAAGGCTCTGTTAGCTTCAGAAGATTTTAGATCACCTCCAACTCAGTTTTTGATCAAGGTTCCTAGAGGTAAAAGTGCATACTGACAACTCAGTGCACTATGAGTTTATCTTCTGCGTAAACTCAATTTGGATCATAAATCCAGGCCAACTGGGGAAAGCTATCTTGTATTAAAATCACTCAGATTAACTCTACAAATAAAATGTAGGGATTATTAGAGTTTGAAAAGGCCATTCTTGATTACTCTGAACTTTCAAGACTCCTGTTAGCTTCAGTTAGATTTCCAAGGCAGTTAGGCGATGCTTTCTTTCATCTTCTCAGTTTCTTCTACTGATGAGATTATACCAGTTGTGTTGAGCTTTTATATTTCCATTAAATAACACTAGGAATATTAATTATGTTTTGTGAATATTAAAAACTAAGGCTCTGGGCTGAAGTGTAGGTATGAATTTAAATCACATTCACTCACACGACAGGAGAAAGTGAATGCTTTTACCCCCATGCAGAAGGGGTAAAGAATCTCCTGCTACAGAGATAACTCAGCTAACTTCATGCAGCTGGCTGCATCCTTCCTTCTGCTGCTGCTTTACCTTTTTTTTGAACTGCTTTCCATACATACAAGCTGATGTAAACCTGTAACTAACAGTCAAAATAGTTCTGGATGACTGAACAGAGGAAGTAAAAGCCCAGAAGATGGCCACACCTAAAAATCCATTTAGATAACAGTCCTACAGGATTAATTTACCAGAACCTACCCAAAATAAAAGTCCCTCTTATCAGAAATCTAGCCTGTCAAACTGTATGGGTACCATAAGTAGTTGCACAATCCTGACAATAGCCTTTGTACTGGGGCTCTGTTCGGAGAACTGCATGTAGATGTAGGTACACCTTAGAAATGCAAAGATTTCAAATTATACATGCATCATCAAATATTATTCAGCCATGAAAATGTAAGAATGCTACAAAATAGGACTCGGTCATGAAAAATATCCAATAACAGTAGAAGCAGGTCTCTGTGTGGAGTTTCCCTTGAGATCAAACCATTGGTTTCCCACAAGTGGTGAGTACTACCACGTGTTTATTCTGTGGAGCAGTAGCAGATGGATATTAGGGCAGACTGATACGTTGGAAGGCTTTTTTCCTGTAATGAACAAACTGTTTTATCATGGTGACGGGAAAACAGACTTCTTCCTTGGGTATTCGCTTGAAATGGAAGTTCTTAGAGTGTCCAGGGAGTTTTCCATCTGCACAGACTGTGATTTTCTGCACCTCTTTGGGAACAAGCCCTTGTAGAATTCCACAGCCTTCTTCTGGAAGTGCTTCCCGACAATTACATACAAGACTGGGTTCAGGCAGCTGTTGCTAAAGGCACAGTAGGTAGCTACCTGGGTCACTATGTCATTGATTTCTTCCAGGCATTTGGAAGTGGGTGAGAGGTAACGGATTGTGTCGACGAGCGTGCTGATCTGGAAGGGAAGCCAGCAAACGATGAACAGCAGGAGCACAGCAAGGACGAGCACGGTGGCTTTCCTCTCTGTCTGGACTAACTTCAGTTTTTGTAGCTCACTACTTTGCAAGGCTTTGATGATTCGCGTAGTGCAGTAGGTGATGACACAGAGCGGTATCACAAAACCCACAATATTCAGCAAGCAGTTGTTTGCAGGCTCCCAATAGCTGGCTGGGTAAATAAGAACACAGGCGGTGATGTTGTATTGTTCATAATACTGTAAACTTCGAAACAACATTGTGGGGGAACATATGAGCAGCGCACATGTCCAGACCACAAAGCTGTTCCATTTGGCACAGAGAGTTCGTCTCATCCGTCCAAGAGACATGGTTTTCACCAAGGCCAGGTAGCGGTCGATGCTTACCAGTGTCAGGAAATAAATGCTAGAATAACAGTTTGTGTTGCTCATTATGTTGACAGCTTTACAGAGGAACAGGCCAAAAGGCCAGTGGAACTTATTAGAAATATTAATGGCCCAGAAAGGTAGAGCGCAGACTAAGAGTAGGTCAGCGAGTGCCATGTTTGCTAGGTAAATTTCAGCCACAGTGCAGCGACTTTTGTGGAAACATAGGACGATGAGGACAAAGGAATTTTCTATTGCTCCCAGAATAAATATAAACCAGAGGAATCCAGGCTGAAAATCCTGTAGCCATTTCCATACATCTGCATTAATGCATTCATATTGATACAGCTGGTGCATTCCTGAATTATTGTGGAGATCTGCTGGACTGACTGGGAGCTCCTGGGTGGCCATGACGTTGTAAAGCTGCGTAACATTTTCAGTTGTGATGGAAACCATTTCTGTGCAGAGGAAAAAAAAAAAAAAAAAAAAGGAAAAATCATGAAATTGCTACATCTAGCTCATTGCTGCAAAAGGCACAATAAGAAAAGCTAGCTCTGCTTTTCCTACTGTGCTAAAAAGCATGGCTTTGAACATGTTTACAATTCTTTGGGTTGCTTTCTTGTAGACACCTTGCACGCTTGCAGGGCGTTTCACAGACTAAACTGCTACGGACTGCGTGGACTGATTTTAAGTGGGTGAAACAGAGGGAATAAAGCAACATCAGACATTGTAACAGGTTAGCTGAAGAAAGCATTTACCAGCCTTTATTCACTAGAACCAAGCTGCAACAAGTAATTTTTGAATCCCTTAAGGAGTTTCATTGTTACTTTCCCTTCATATGTTTGTGTATTGAAAGCCATAGCCCCCTAAAGAACAGATGTACCTTGTTGCTCATTGTCAAGCTGCTAATTCTGTGGCGTGTCCCTCAACAGTTTACATCATCTCCTGTAAAGCAAAAATTGGGCAGAATTCAGTGGTGCTTCCTCTGCAAACAACACCATATTTTTTTTTTTTTTTTTTTTTTCCCAAATGTTATGACTGTCACAGCAGACATTTAGCTTGCAGCTCTGCTTTGGCACTAAGCAAGCTGCAGGAGGAAGGATCAGTGTTTGCAAGCAGCGTGCGTTTCTCAGCTTCTCACTGGAATCGCCTGTGTATTTCTGTCTCTGTTGCAGTCTCTTTCAGCAAGCAAGTCACCGAAGAGATAAATGGTGTAACCTTTGTGGTGGAACTTGGTTTTCCTAGGTCTGCAGTGGGCGGGTTGGCAGTTTGGCAGATAGTGGCCATGGTGTAAGCCAGGACCTGCCTGCAGTCGGTCTGCAACGAGCCAGTTTGGGTGCAAGAGCAGGGTCTGAAACCCAGGTATTGTACTGTGAATATTCTACGGGCCAGAACAGCCTGGGGCCTTGCAGGGAGATATTTATGGGCATAAATGTCAGCTATGTGCTTCAATTTTACTAAAACCAAACAGAAGTTGAGCACGCAGCATCCACTTGGTACTGTTAAAATGTTATCTGTGGGGTTTATTATTGTGTTCACAGATAATGAAAGCTGAGATACTATTCAAATGCAAAACTGGCTTTCCAGATCTGTTTATATAATTCTTTGGACTGAGTGACAGAAATGCTGTTTTTCTAGGTCTTTAATATACCACTGTTTATATTATGGTTTGATTGGAAGCTTTTCAGATATATTTTTAATTAAGACATTTGTCTGATTCAACTGGTAACTTGGCAGTAAAAACGGGACACATTTGTAATTCCTGAAAGGACTGGGTTCTCATTCGTGCTCTGGTTACTGGATTTGTTGGTTGATCAGTGTCAGTGCTAGATATGCATATGGACGTTTGGCTGTTGGGTGCAGAATTACTGAAAAAATAGTGGTCATATTTTGTGTACTTAGTTTTAATTAAGCACTGTAGTACTTCAGAACCAAAAACAGAGGTGAAGACCACATTTTAGTAAGTACAGTAAAGGTGGTAACAAAAGGAGACTCTCTGTACTGTAGAATTTATAACAGGGGTGTCAGGCAGGACAGGTCAGCTGAATCTGACAGGCAAGTGTGACTCAGAGCCTTGAAAGACAAGGCAACCTAAAATGGATTAATGGGCACAACCCAAAATGTCAACAATGCACATTTCCAGTCCTTCATAACTTGAACAAAGGAAAGTATTTGTATAAACTGGGTAACAACATAGATATTCTCATTCTCCAAGTTCATCCTTCCAAACCCTCAACTTTTCAAGCCCATATCTAAGTGCCGGAACATATCTCTATCCTTTATCCCATCTCTTCATTAATCTTATAACTGTTAGAAACACCTCAATCTTGACAAACCTGTATCCTTTTGATTTCTGATCATTTTCAACCGCCATCTGGAGAGTGGGTTGGTGGATCCTCTTTATTACACAGCATTACATGTTGTAGTCGCTCATCCAGTGACCTATGCTTTCGGTGACGCGGGTTATCATCTGTAAATTTAGGTCTAGTGGATATGGATGTTTTATTCTATACTGAAAGCAAACAGCATTTGTAGAGCATGCTATGCAACACTGCCAATAATGTGATTTATGTCCTTTTCATGTCCCAGGTGCAAAGAACTACTGTAGGTTGTAAACGTTTTGGTTAGAAATCTTGTTTTTGTGTGTGAGCCCTTCCAGGCAAAGCAGAGCACCTGCACCTATAATGCATTTTTCTGTGACTTTATTGGTTCATATTTCAGCACAATGGAATATAGGACAATACTAAAAGCCTCACTGAAACCCAGATATGCTTGATCTATTGCTTCTGCTTTATCCATTAGGCCGGATCGGATTAATCCAAAACTTTATTTTTGACAAGTTTATACTGGCAGTTCCTTATTACTTGGGTTCTTTATTATCCTTTATATGTGGATATACTCATTATTTAATATTTTGCTGTCATGTTTTCCAGGTATTTAAATGAGAATAACAGGTTTATAAATCCCTGGGCCCTCCTATCTGTGCCTTTTAAAGATATGTATTGTGTTTTGCCCTCTCTGGGCTTCTGAAAAGTCCTTGTTCTCCTTGGGTTCAGACATAAAAACTGATAGCAAAGATTTTCTCTCCTAATTCCTGAACCATGCCAGGGTGGGTTATATATGATCCTGTCATTTTGCATAACTCCATATATTCTTTAATTTGTTTTTTTTTTTTTTCCCAATTCACCTAAATCCAATTATTCAAAGCAATCACCTTAAATATCAGATCATAATCTTCATTGCTGAGAGGACTAACACAGAGTCACCATTGAACTTTTCATCATTCTCTGAGCTACCGGTTCCCTTTTCTTTTTGGTAACAGGTCTAGGCTTTCCTCCATTGTACTTTTGATATATTTATAGAAACATTTTATATTACCTCCTATGTCCCCTATTAACTACAACTAATTTTTGTTCTGATGTTTTTGATATATTTGATGTTCTGAGTTCTTAATATCTCAGATAGCCATACTTTTCTCTAATTAATTTCCCCATGGCAAAGCTGTCATCAAGGTAGTGGTATTCATAAGTACTTAAATATCTCGGAGCCCAACTTTTGTGCATGTGAGAGATGCCACTAACAAATTGCAAACCGTAGTTCCGAGTCTCCCTTGCTGCGTATGATGGCACTTTACACTGTAAAAACACATAGGAAGCGAAATACTAATGGATAATCAACAAAAGGTCATCTGAGAGCAGAGAAGTTCTGTTGGGTGGTGCAGTCAGTTTAAGCTGTTTCTTCTGCTGGTAACGAGCTGTGAACCATCAGAACGAACTGTAAGTGCACTGTTTTATGCTTTGAGTTTAGATGTGTGCAAATACCTAATAAGATGTTCATTAGTATTTCAGAGTGGTGATAAGGACTATGTTGGCAATTGCTATGCCTTTCCTTCATTACATGGCTAACAGAAAAATAACAAACAGGAATTAATGTACAGCAAATAGCAGGTCAAAAACTGCCTACTGATTTATGATTTTTTTCCTAAAGTTAATCTCTTCTAGATTGTTTTTTTGAGAAGTGAAGGCCCTAGAATACTTTAAAATAAATTAATTATATCACATTACTGTGGTCTCGGAACAGTGTGTAGAGGCTAGTTAGGATGTGACCAAATCCATAACAAAGGGCTTCTGGCAACCTGCCTCCTTGGTCCTTAGCTCAAGCCCTTCCATAAAGCAATGGTAGAAAAGTGGGAGTGAGCAAGGTAAAATGTGCTAAGGATCCGTTTACGAACCCTATTAAAATGCTGTGCTTGGTGCTATTCTCTATAGCACAGAAAACTCATTTGGAGTATGTGCTTACTGAATAAATTATGATTGACACAGCCACAGTTTAGAAAAGGGAGTGATTTCGCCATTTGTTTATTACAGTTCAGTGGAAATAAATGTGACCCCTTCACACACTTTCTACAAATGCTTCCTGTGCAATGCAGTACAGGCCTAATGTCTCAGCTGGGACTTTCAAAAAGATTTTATCTGATGGCTTTGATTGAAACACCGCCCAGCTGAAACAATCTATTGTTACTGATTACAAGGGACTCCTGTGGGGTCTGCATTTGTCCCTGCTGGAGTTCACCTCCTACTGTTACTTACCTCCTCCTTAACAGTCGCTAAAAATATTATCAGTCATTGTCCCATGTTGTTGCAGAATATTTTTTGCTAACAGCATTTGGGCACAAATGGCAAGGTTTTGATGGTGGAGGGCTGCAGGGAGCCCTGGGTGGGAGGCGTTGTTGAGCAATGGCTGGATCCTGCCAGTGCTGCAAATGAAGAACCCCCTTGCCGAGGGCCTGGGAAGAAGGGGTTAATCAACTAGTAGATTGTCTTTACAGGCAAGTGGAGAGGGACCTCAGATGGGTGGTAGTCACCGGTACCATGGCCTGAAAGCTCTGCGGGCTGGGCACATTCACCTTGGTATTGCCTGGTGGGATGTCCTGCTGGTCAAGGACTGACTGCCCTGTGTGTACTGTACTGGGGGGGACCATGCCAGAAGCCAGGGGTGAGATTATCAGCGAGCCAAGGATAACACCCAGAGTCCAGGAGTGTGGCTAATCTTGGAATAAATGTCATGTATGGAGGGAAAGTGTCCAGGCTACATCCATACATGCTGGAGCCTATGGAAGTTCTTGACAGAAAAGCAGCAGGGCGTGATGAAGTGGGACAAAAAGCCCTTTAAGGATTATAAACCATGAGCTGAGGAATGGAAGGGCAGGGAAAAAAACCGCCAGAGCTCAGTTAATACTGTTTTCAGACACGTACATCTTCATACAGAGCAACGGCACGGAGGAGTGGAAAAGCTGGGAGGACAAACGCAGTTTTGAGTGAGTGGCTGCATACTGAGGGGCACTGGCTCACTTCTGACTTGGTGCTTTTTGAGGAGACAGGTCAGCTACAGAAAGAAATAGCAAAACACCCAAGGCCTGCCACAGCCTCTCCTCTAAATCTCTCTCCCTGGGAAGAGC